GGGTCTGCTGCTTTTAAAACACGCATTCCATTCTCACACATTTTCTCTGTGTCTTGTCTCACCAAATCTTGTGCGTTATTCGACCACCAGCAATGTGGGGGAGCATGTTTGTGGTGGTTGTGGTCTAATAACACACAAGCTTTGGTGAGACAAGAAAATCCAATAAACACTACAATAGACCTACTGTATATATACATCTATATATATATATATATATATATATATATATATATATATTCATAATGTCATTTATTCATGCATACATACAACATGCAAGTGAAGTGATTTGTTATCAGTGTCACATTATGCCACAACTGAAACGTTAAATCAAATGATTTTGTATAGCGGTATACTCTCACACATAGAACTAAAATGAGTCCTCTGTAATTTACTGGAAGAGTTTGGGGTGTATAGGTTTACAGTGTATGCCGCAGGCACATCCTCTCACTAATGTTACAATGCAATGTTATACCACTATTGTTCAGATCCAGAAAATGACACTTCCCTTAAGGGCATGCACATCAACTTACGGGCTCCACACAGCCCCACACCCCTCTTAAACCAACTTGATTTGGCTAAAACATAATCCATCAATGGGCAAAACTTTCTAAAGTACACTATAGCTCTCTTTTACGTACACTGAGTAAGACTGTGATTTCAAACAGTAAGCAAAATAACACAGAAACTGTTTTATAGTTAACATTCAATTCGATTCACATTTATTTGTATAGCGCTTTTCACAACATTGTTTCAAAGCAGCTTTACAGAAAATGCATGAGTCCACATTATACTTTAGAGTGATCTGTTATCAGAGGTTACAAGATATGTATTTTAGAATGTACATATACTAATCACAGTTAGCTAAAAATGTATTAATTTAAACAATGTAGGCCTAATAATTTAAGGCAGAAACAATGAGCTCATTAAACTAATGAATACTTGTTTGTTAATTATGTATTATTTTTTTCATGTATAGGCTACTCGCTGTTTTCAATTAATCATTTTAACTCAAATGTTTATATTTCATATTTTGACACATTTCAATGTATTTGTGTGCATAGTAATTTAATAGTTTGTCATTTATTTATGTTTTATGGTCACAAATTCATAACATTATTTCTCTATCAATGAATGTATGCCTCATAGGCTGCAGCCTTTCTGTGCAAATAAATAGTAATTTTTATACGATTTCTATTTGTATTTACAGTAAATAAATACGGTCTGCGCCTCTGCAGCTTCAGAAGCAGTTTTATGGTGTAAAAGCGGAAACAGGCCCTTAGTATCTGATGATAAACATTCAACTAATCTGCACCTGTTTTACATGTTTTGCAACCCACAAAAACAGTACATGCATGCTAAAATTGCATTTAATTGACTGGGCATGACGTGTAATATCCCAAGTGCGAGACCTTTCTCTTGGGTTCCCCTGACCTTTCCACAGTGGACACCTGTGTGGACAGATCGCAGGTTTGTTCACCTGAGGAGGAGCAAGGAGTGTGTTGTGAAAGGACCACACACTCCTGTGCAGCGAGGCCAGCTTTCCCCTCACAATGGCTGGAATTATCCAAATCAATACACCATTGTGCACCTTAAGCAGAGAGGAACTAATGCCAGTCGAGGTCTCGGACTTTATTTGAAAGCTTTAAAGAGCAAGATCTTGCAAATTTTAATAAATCTGTGGCTGGAATTATAAGAACCTTTTTTTTTTTTTGCCAATCGACGTTCAGAGCTAATGCACCTAAACATGCGTGGAGTAATATAACATGTCAGATTGGCATTTTAATCAAGCTTGCAAAGACAATAATTCCCTTTGATCAAACATGTTCCTTGTGTTTTCTTTTACAGATACAATTAGTTTCATGGATACAAAGTAATGAACATGTGTTGCTTAACCAAAACAGAACAATGGGCACAAGAAAGCAGCAGTGAAGTTCCATTGTGCACTGATTTGCTAATCAGTGTGATATGAGTATGATTATTGCAGAATATGTTATTAAAGCTGACAAACTGAAGAAAGCTGAATGTCTGAAAGAAGAAATGGAAACTTGTTCCTTCTCAGCTTCACCCTGCTTTGTACAGGAAATATATCTCTATTTTTTAAATAGCCCTTTAATGCTTTAATCGTTTAATTTTAGACTGATTTTATGTTCTGTTTTCATAAAATGATGCTGATGCACAACTCACAAACATTGCATGCTCCCATTTTAATACCAATCTTCAATGGCTGAGTATTATCCATTTATCTATGCATTTGTGATGAATAAAGCTCAATCCTCATTTCTAATCCCCAGTCTGTAGTCAGAGCATAAATAAACACAACACTACCCCCTGCATAGCTGCTATGGTACTGCAGCCATATGGTGAGGGTAGGTTGAGCCACCCTAGGGGTTTTGGCTATTCTGTGCCTGCTTGCTTAGTCAGGAAGAAACTCTTTGACCTACATGTAAAGCAAACAATCACAGTTTGTTTATGTGTGCCATGCCATCATCATACCACAATAATAGACTGGCATAGAAAACAATTATATTATAAAGGTGTGGCGGTCTGCTCAGACGGTTGCAAAGGACAATAGAGGAAAATGTGCACAGTACACATTTTTTAAGTACAATTTCTCTCCATCTAAAAGATTTTTATCTCCATTGATGACCATTCAAAAGTATTACTCTTACTATTTCTTCCATAGAAAGATATGACAAGAAAAAAAAGGGTTTATTGGGGTTCTATATGAAGCATAGGGTTCTTTATTCAACTCCAAAGAACCTTTTATGCTAAAAAAGGTTCCATAATGTCAAGAAAGAACCCTTTTGGCATAAAGGTTCTATATAAGATATTATTCATTCACATATTACATTATTCTGAAACATTTTGTAATTGCAATTAAATTGTTGTTTATTAAACTGTTGTAGTAACTTAATATCACATTTTAATCATGCTGTTTTTTTGGAGGAGAAAAACTGAAATGGCACTCTTAGTGTGATATTGATTAACTACATAAAATAATATAAATATATACATTTTCTAACCCCCATATCTTTCAATTTTGTGATCATCCACATGCATTCATAAATAAATTTCAGGGTCTTGATGTTTCTCAATAATATGAAATATTTAATCTGGAAAGGACAAACCAAATGTTAATGAATGAAGCCAAAAGGTTCCTATGAGTACAGAACCTTTTTCCTGGTTACAAATGAATTTATTCATTTATTTAACAGGGACCATACAGTCAAACATAGTCACAATACAAAGCCTGTAACTGATGCGCAGGATATAGAGTTTGTAGCTGCTAATTTACAATTTACAACTCCCTAAAGGGTTCTTATTATTGAACCCTTAAAAAGGGCTCTGTATATAACCTTTTAGAGGTTGCAAATACGCAGTGCTTTAGACCCATTTAAGAACCTTTTCTTCTAAGAGTGTAGTGCAGTAGGCCGATGCGGTTCCGCGTTCAGAAAAATTGAGATACTTTGGCAGGAATGGGTAAATGCTATTGGCAATAAGACCTTTCAAAAATCCAGGCTGCGAAAATGTACATCACATGTATGCCTTTCTCGGCATACATGTAAACTGAAGTATGATATTGGCTTTAGAGCAGGGATGGGGGAACTCTGGCCCTTGAGATCCATTTTCCTGCTGAATTTAGCTCAACTTAATTAAACATAGCCTCCCCGAACAAGCTAATCAAGATCTTCAGGATTAGAAAGCTACTGGCATGTGAGTTTGTTTAAGGTTCGAGGTAATCTCTGCATGCAAGAAAGTGGACCTTGAGGGTCAGAGTTGCTCATCCCGGCTTTAGAGGTCCTGGTGATCCACTTGGTAAACTAGCCTGAATCTATAGTGCCACCTATTGGAATAATATTCTCATTATATGCATCTATAGGTAATGTCGGATCTCTTTGCTATAAATCAATTTAGGTTTCCCTATGAATTCCTTTTTTGTTGTTGTTGTTGTTGTTTTATCTCATCTGTCAATTTGAAAATCCTGTTCTGATTTCTGTTTGCGTGCATGAATAATTAATGTAACATTGTAGCTACATGTGTAGCTTTAATTTCCACCACTAGAGTTCACTAAATTACATAATTAGAATACTTTCTGTTTCAAACAACTTGACACAGAGCAGCTGTAGCTTCAAATAACTCCCGAATATAATTTTGTCATAAGGGACAGATATGCAACCGAAATGCTTTGATTTGGAGTCCCAGATGTTGCTATTTGTCTTATCAAAGCGTTGTATATGGCGCTTTGGGATGAGAATGCGTTGAACATTTTGGAAATTTTCTTTTGTGGGGACTCTAGACATAATGATTTGTATAGGCCTACTGTACAAACTGCATATTATATCCCCTTACACACCACCCCTAAACCTATAGCCTACTCATCACAGAAAACTGATGAAACTAAAAAAAAAAAAAAAAAATGAAAACCCTTTATTATAGATTATTACATTTATTTGTAATTGAATATTGTTTAAACAACATGAACAAAGTCATTAACACTTTTTTTTTACACAACTTAGAGAAAAAAAAAAGTTCTTTACTTTAGGGATTTTATCATTTATAATCTCAATTGAACACACACACACACACACACACACACACACATGCTATTGCTCCGTGGGCAATAGACATAATGATTTTTCTACTCTAAGGCTATAAAGACAACCCGTATATTATATCCCCCTGCCTACACTAAACCTATCCCCAAGCCTACCCCCCAAAATCATTAAAAACGACATAAAAACGAGTCTAATTAAAATAGACTTAATTACAACCTACCATATTGCCCTTCCTTTAACAGACACTTTATACCCTAGACATTTTTGGTCCATATATGAACACAGCAGGCTGTTCTAACCCAGCCCTCTGTTAACCCACGCTGCTGCTCCTCTGTCTGTACACACACGCTCCCCCATCCGGTGCAAAGTGGACGCGACGCGGCGCGGCTTAAATCATCTGACGTGTTTTGCGCATTTCCTGAACTGGCGCTTGAGCGCAGGGAGGGAGAGAGAGGGAGTAAGTGAGTGAGAGGGAGAAAGAGAGAGAGAGAGAGCGAACAGGGAGAAAGGCTGCAGCGCAGAAGACTACATGAGCGTGTAGCTCAAATGCTTTCGCCTTCACAAATCTACAAAGAAAAGAAGCAGCTTAATATATCGGCGAGTGGATGGCAATAGTCTCCGAGCGGTTCGTCAGCATACTGGGAGAAGGAGGAATCCCAAAAGCCTCTCCCACTCAACGCATACGGGAAAACGAATAGTACGAGACAAACCCTTCTGAAGACCATCACATTTGGGATATTTTCCACTATATTAGGTTATTGCCGATCTTTTGCCTGCTGGACTCGTCCCTCTACTCAGCGCTATTCCACACGTATGGAATCCGATTGTTTACGTATGCTTTCCCATTACGAGTAAAGACGGATCGTAAACAAACACAGGAGCCTCGGTTTTGCATATCGCTTTTCTGCATCCTATTTGATTGTTCCGCTCAAATGAGAGAATCAGGTTGATCCGTGTAGTGGTTTGAGGGATTTAAGCATCACAGCATCCATCTAGCCTATATGTGCATGTATACTAATGACGTGATGACATCTATGGGTATAGCGACCCCCTGAATCAAAACCAAAAACCGTCTGTTCCTGCAAAGAAGCCAGCTGCATCTCACTTGAGCGTCATCATGGTGGTTTTTAATGGAGTGTTGAAGATCAAAGTTTGTGAGGCGTTGGACCTGAAGCCCACTCCATGGTCGCTCCGGCATGCAGTTGGACCAAAGACCCAGACCTTCCTACTGGACACGTACATTGCCCTCAACGTGGACGATTCACGTGTGGGCCAAACTTCCACCAAGCAAAAGACTAATAGTCCAGCTTGGAATGATGAGTTTGTAACGGAGGTTTATGATGGGAAGAAAATTGAACTGTCCGTCTTTCACGACGCACCAATTGGCTATGATGACTTTGTGGCCAACTGCACTATACAGTTTGAGGACCTGCTGCAGAATGGGAGTAGGCACTTTGAAGACTGGGTATGTTAATCTCACAATTTATTGCATGGTGTGTAATCACTTCTGTCTGGCTCCTGATGGCCCCTCAGCACCACACATTTCGGGTGTCTTATTTTCTCTCACACTCAAGATTAGGGAGGACTTCTAATGAGACATGGCTGGTGTAGTCTAGTGCAGTGGTTCTCAATCTGGGTCCTGAAGCAGACCAGCACTGGACATAATTGATGTCCACCTTTATTTATCTCACCTGATTTATATAATCCGCTCATATTGCTGCATAAAGACCTAAAGCCGGTGTGGAGACATCCAAAATGTGCAAAAAAATCACTGATCTGTTGACTAGGCCATAATTTTCATCTGTCGTCTGGGCCATAATTTTCACAGGGACTGGTTGGTTTCGGATTCTCCTCAGCAAAGCCCCTCGTTTCCCAGCCTCCCTCACGGGTTCTCACGCTCTGGGGGTTTTCCCATTTTTTGACAAAACATGTTCTGCTGCTGTTGAATCCAGACCTACATTTACCATTTCCGTCAAGTGAAGCACATGTTGTGCAAATTGCTTTCATGAGATGTAACACTCCCATGCCAGTGAAGGAAATATCGATGCTTATTATGCAAGCTGTAAAACAAGTTTGACACAGTTTGCTAAATGTATACGACACGTTACAACCCGTCATTTATCTGGCCATGTTTTCTGAAAAAATGATGGTACATGTTGGGCACTGCCAGTGTTTCACCTGGCCAGTCATCTTATTTTGGATTCTAAGGAACCACTTGGTAGAAATAGGCCCATTTAGAGCACAATTCACTGGCTTTTATTAGAGTTTTAATAGTGTTGGACTCTTCATGTCTTCTCTTTTGAGTGTTTCTTTTCTGATGAAAAGAAAGGCTATATGCATTATAGATTGCAATATTATTTACAATTACATACTATCGTGTGTTTTTATAGGGTATATAACGCACATAAAAACTTGAAATATATATTTTTTACAATAGTCTAAATGTTTTGATGCTGCTGTGTTATATTGTGTTTCAGTGTCATGGAAAAATAGCCAGAGATTAATTTAGCATTCTAATCATGCCTGGAATTATGAGTTGGTCTGTTATATAATATTCGTCCAGCTGAGGGGCTGCAGTGGGGAGTGCTTTGTATGTTTGGTCGTTAGACACCCAGGGAAAGGTCAGAATGTATCGATTATGTCGCTGCATTGGTCAATCTTCCCCTCCTGTTGCTGGCAACTCGCGCTGTAAATGTGTCAGGCGAGAGAGTGAGAAGGAAATCAATTTAATCTCTGCATTCCCCCATCACGGCTTTGAGGCCCTGCCTAATCATAACACACCCTGAGCCCTCTGTCTCACTGTCAGCTCTTTATTTCACCTGTGTACTAAAAAGATTTGACAAGTAAAAAATGTTAACCCTTCTTCCCAGTTATATATGCTATATTGCTTCTATTCAATGGGGAACCTTACAAATGTATGTTCTTGTTGTTGTTGTTTTTTTCTGTTAGACTGTTAGTCTGGTTTTGGCTGTTGAAAGGGTAATGCATTGCATTAGTTATGCCAATCCCAATCATAAACAAAATGGCTCAACAAAAAGGGCATATGTTAATTATGGAAAATGCATCTGACATAATTGAAGCTGAACGTTATGCTTGCATACAGATATGCTTGATAACAACGATTTAGGCAGAAGCTATGGTATGTCTAATTTCCCAGAGAGGGAGAGAAGTACAATCTCCATCTGCCATGTCTTGTTTATGCAAATTAATAAAGCGAGGGTTTGCGTTCAAGTCAAGAGACGGTGACCGGAGAATGAATTGAGAATGTTTAGAAATCAATTCCTGAATTTGAGTTGAGGTAAAAAATACATTTGAATTTGGATAGTCAGCACAATGCAAAGAAATTCATGTAACAGTATTTTTTTTTTTTTAGATCTAGAAAAGCAACTTAAACTAAATTTAAAAGCTTTGAAAGCCTAGAAATGTAGGTTTTGGGGCTTTTATGGATAGATAATATAGTTAATAATATATTATTCATTTAATTAACTTTTGTTGACTTTTCTTTGCACTGTAATTCAGTAAATTCCTCTTCTTGGGAATTTGTTGGAGCATTGTTGTTTTTTTTCCTATTTGAATACATGGCGTATGATGTAATGAGCCTTAGGATGGAAACTTCTTGATGTGTTTGGTGTTGAATGAATGAGTTGTCTTGAATGAGGGGTCAATATGTCTGAAAAAGAAACCAAATGAGGCAATTTTTAGGAAGACGGTTGTTTCTTGGCTCTTCATTTGAGCAGCAGAGCCCGGAGCCAGACGTCTCCCGAGAAGCCCACACTGTTCACGCGGTGGACTCGCATCCAATGAGTTTCATTTGTGCATTTACTCCCACTGTTCCCCACACAGGTGGAGCTTTATTCTGCTTGCTAATTTGGGCAGTCACCTCTACTTTCTTCAACAAACATACAAACCAAAGAAACAGTAGCAGCAGTGTTACAAAACTGTTTGAGGAAAAAGTAACCAAACAGGACCTCAGACCCTAAAGAAGACGCTATTGTGTCATGTTTGCTGCTTTACCACTTCTCTGTTGGGTTTCTGGTCTGTAATCTTTCCTCAAACATGTTGCGGTGGCCTGGTACGATCATGCAACAAAGTTTTCTGAAATTGCACCACTTTTGGGCACACACATCTTCTTTTAAGCTGATGGTTGGGTTTGAGTAGACGTGTTGCTTTTAGCGGAAGAGGTAATTGGAGCCTGCTTTTTGTGGATGACTCTTCTCAGACACTACTAAGACACAGCCTACTGTCTTTGTTGTGAAAGGGCAGGGACGGACTGAATCATTTACAACCCTTCCATCAGCCTCTTTATGGAATGTCTGACCCTGCAGAGATCACCCACAACACCCTTAGCTCAAGTTAGCAACAATCCCATTATCACCAGCGAAAGTGGCCCTTATCTTTGGGGATATCTCTGCCTTCAATTTCCAGCCTTTTACTGAGGGGTCATCTGTGGAGAGTTGGAGAAAGAGGGAGAACTTCTGTTGATCTTGTAGCCATTTATTCACTCTTGTCTTTTTTGGGTTCATTCATTCTGCTTCCTCATATTGTCCTCCTCCTGCTATCCCTCTGCTTCCTTCATTTTCTCTCTACTGGGTTTCCTTCCCTTCCATCTTGTTGTCCGAACTATCCTTGTTAATTTCATAGATATTTTTGCTCCTGAGATTATGCCCAGTCCATTCGAAACCAGCTCCAAATGCTTAAAACACATTTCACTAGGAGTGTTGCTTTAGCCACAGATAATGAGCTTTAAAGGCCTGCAGTTTCCTTAATGTCTTTCCACTGCATTACAGCTTACATTACAGTTATCGATTGCACTCGGTATTTACATTTTTATGCCCAGAAGCTCTCTTTCTATTGTGTTTTCTTAAAGGGATAGTTCACTTTGAAATACATTTTTGATATGTTTTAGCTTACCTCAAGGGCATCCAAGATGTAGGTGTCTTTGTTTCCACAGTATTTTCAATTTTTATATTTTTAGGTCAAACCGTTCTTGTCTGTCAGTCATATAATGCAGGTTTAGGGGGTTCAACTCAAAGAGCATGCACAGAGAAGTCCAAATTAAGCATGATTTAAAGACTCGTAAATGTAAGTACACATTGATGGCCTGCAAACGAGCAGTTTGTGTGTGAAACGAACAGTATTTATATCGTTTTTACCTCGTGTAATCACAGTCACGTCCAAGTACTCTGAGGCCCCGTCCACACTACTGCGTTTTCGTTTAAAAACGGAGACCGTTTGCTACGTTTGCACCTCTCGTCCACACTAAAATGGGAAAAACAAAGACCTAAAACGGAGAAGTTTAGAAACGCTGCAGCTGCGTTTTGCGTTTTGAATCTCCGGAGGGCGTTTTAGTGTGGACGAGACAAAACCATACAAAACGGAGAACTTCAGAAACGCTGACGCAGAGGCTGACGCTTGGCTCTATGATTGGATGTTATCAGTCATGACGTATCCTTCCCTGATTCGTCATTCACTGTTTACACCGGCACGCGCATGCCCAGTGTTGGTGAATGGTCACGTGATCCGCGTTCTATCCGAGATCGTTTCTAATACGCAGATAAAACGCTGGTGTGGACGGAGATCGTATTCGTTTTAATTCTCCGTTTTTAAACGAAAACGCAGTAGTGTGGACGGGGCCTGAGGGTGAGGGCGCTTCTATCTGCGCATGCGAGCCGGCACTCGCCACAAAGCACCGGAAGTAATCTCTCGCGTGTGTACGTCACTCATTGTTTACACAGAGATTTCAGAAGTGTTGCCCTTCACTGTGAAGATCTAAACATATTTAAATATACAGGAAATTGCAATGGAGGACGATTTCGATATATCAACTGGCAACGTTGATTTTTTTTTTTTTTCGCAACCGCGCAAGAGATCACTTCCGGCACTTTGCGGCGCTTGTGCAGACCGAAGCACTCGTGCCTTCAGATCACTTGGACATGGCTGTGGTTACAAGAGTTAAAAATGAAATAAATACTGTTCGTTTTCTCACACAAACCGCTCGTTTCGTGTCTTAGGCCATCAATGTGTACTTACATTTAAATCATGTTTAATTTGGACTTCTCTGTGCATGCTCTTTGAGGTGGACCCCATAAATCTCCATTATATGACTGACAAGAACGGTTTGACCTAAATATATCAAAATTGAAAATTCAAAAATTAATTTCAAAGTGAACTATCCCTTTAAATGTTGGTGTTAGCTGTACAGTTCTTCTTGGTTACTTGACATTGACATCATCTATCCTCACTTCCTATCCTCACTTCTTCTTGGCCATTTGCGCAAATAGGCAAGGCTTAGGCAAAACACCAACTGCTCCCCTACTTGGCATTCCGTTGCCAGAAGAATCCATATCATCCTTTTGCCAAGCCAAAACGCATCAGAACAGGGTGTTAATTGAGTTATTTCACATCGGCGTATTTATGCTTCTAGACTAAGGTGGCAACATGTCGACTTGCACAGACAGAAACCTT